ATATCCTTCCACTGTAATATATCGTAGCTGTGAGTAGAACTATACATTGAGTGTGGTGAGTCCTAACAAATCCTTGAACCTGGGGATGGTCGTGGGATACCTGACACAGCTACGGAACAGGTTAATATCCTACAAGGCAATAAAACTACAATCTCTGAATTATCTTTTATACCAAAAACCATTTACAAATAAAAAATACATAAATTGTGTGTGTGCCACAGTGTCTGCTGAGATAGTTGGTTATGGATGGCAGGGCCTTCTCCCCAATCGCTGCTAGACAGGAGGATTAGACAGCTGAGGAAAGGGCCCCTGCTCATGAGAGTTCCCTAGGGTTAAACATAATTATAATAAAATGTAATCAATATGATTAGAGATTCAAGTACCTCTGTAGAGGCAGTACGTATAATGGTTAAGGACAGAAACTAGAGCTTGTATTCAAATCCTGGCTCACCATTTACTAGGCCTGTGACAGCAATACACTTAACTCCCTGAGGTTTCCTCATCTGTGAAATGACAATGTAAAAACCTAGATAAAGTATAAGGGTTAAATAAGTACAACACAATGAGAACAAGGATACATAGGAGTGTTAGTTGTGGTATCCTTTCAAATAGTCAATGGTTAGAAAAGGGGAGAAAGAACCCTTCACTACCTGAGATAGGAAAAGATGTTTTAAAATTTGATCTAGCTTTGCAGAGGGTAACAGCCCAAATTCCAAATGAGTGAAGAATCAGTGAGTTTATTGTATTCTGGTACATAATTCATTACTTCAGCATTCTATTTTCCCCCAAAGCTCTTCCCCCTCACCCCCAAAACAATTCCATGCCATGTATTCAGTGAAATGGAAAATGCTTGAACAGCCAGCAGCCCTGAGTGCCTTATCCTGTGGAACTCCTGCATTATTTTAAAAGTGACATGACCCCTCTAAACAATCTCATGCATGTGCAATGGAAAGGAAGGCTAAGTGAGGCCACATAATATGCTGTGTTTGCTTTTGCTGCATCTGCCGAGCCTAGAGGCATTTAGATTTAGACAAATCTAAACAGCATGCTGTTCTCTTGAGCACCCAACACGGTCTGGAGGAAAAGAGATTTGGGCAAAGCTCCTTTATAAAGCATGGAGATAGAAAGCAAGGAAAGCATTACTCGTCACGTAACCATTTCCAGGGTAGTACCCAAAAGGAATATGACAAATTTTCCTTATACTTTGAACTATTTAAAAAGAAAAGCTAATGAACTCTTAGTTTCTGGTGGAAGATGGGTGGAATTTAGATATACCTTTTTAAGATCCCGTTTAAATACAAGTGTAACTTTTTAGTTTAGAACCATAATCATAGTATGCACAGCTTGGTTTAATGAGAAAGATGTGATACTTTCCTACATTTACAAAATATGCCTAGAAAAGAGGCACTTTTTTTAATTTTAATAATACTGTAAGTTTCATTCAGCTTTACTTTGGGTTAAATACACATGAAATGTGCTTTAATGCATAAAATCACAGTGGATAGCAGCTAAGGACGGGAGGGAGGTTAAGGACAATCTGACAATTCACATTGTGATTCTGCACATTGATGAAAGAGAATTCACACTTCTAAAACCTCAAGACTTCCCTTTGTAAAGAACCAAAATAAACCCAAGACACCTTGCCGACATTTCCCGCCCCGAAACAAACCGATTCCTCTTTTACAAATAAAACTGAAATAGTATGGCAGCAAAAGATTTCGATAGCAATGAAAGTTAAGAGACACATTTTTTTACCCAAATGAATTTTTGCAGGAATGACCCTTTCCCATTTGAGCTCTCTCTTTTCTTGGGCTTTTCAGGGTTTTGCTTACAGATAAACTTTCTTCTACTAAAAAGAAGCTCAAATGTTAGCTTCTCAGTGAGGCCTTTCCTGACTTATCCTTATCTCTGTGTCCAAGAAGTTTGTCCCTGGGTCCTCTGTCCTCTTGCATGAACAGCAAGCACTCTGTCCGTGCCTGTTTGATAGAACTTACTATTTTGAGATTCTTGGTTTATATGCCAGCCTCCCTCTCTCAAAGGCCTATTGAGATCAGGGGCTTGGGTATTGTTTATCCCCAGATGTCTGACCCTGTTACAGCAACCCCTTTTGCTGGCTCTGCCCCCTTACCCACCTTATGTTACTATTCTCTTCTGTTCTGGCCTTGCTACTCTTCTGATGCTACTTACTTATTCACCTTGAGCAACCACACCCATGTTCCTGGTCTTAAGTGCTACCTGAATGCAGATGATTCAAGTACATTCCTCCATTCCAGACTTTGCTCTCGAGCTCCAAACCCATAAAACCACTGCCTAATGAACTGGGATGGACCGTGGGCCTCCAAATGCAGTAAGCACAAACCTTATTATCCTTCCCCTTTATGTACCTCCCTGTCTAAGATTCCCCTTACAATAAATGGCACCACCATTGCCATTGTAGACAAGTCAACCTTGGGAACCATCTGACCATCTCCTTTCCCTTCAACCAAATCAGACCTGATGGTTCTCTTTCCTTATGAAAAAAAAAACAAATTCTTTTGCATTATACGTAAGTCCAGATTTCCAGGGGTGGAGAGTGTTGGGGAGGGGGAAACCCTGATTTGTAGGCATAAAAGCTCCCATCTTGACTGGTTTCAAGCTGCCACTGTGACATCACTGATACAAGGATGCCGGGAAGAAGTTGCCAGCAGCGCACCAGTTATATAGTATAGACACCGTGTGCATGATAAAGGGGCCATGTAATGAACCTGACAAGCTCAGGAGAGGCCCACATGGGGGGTCTTACAAACCCAGAGACCGAAAGCAACCACACAGGGTGGTCTGCCGTAAAAATTCCTGTGGGACATGGTGGATAGTCACCTCCTAGGCCTGTAGCTTCCTTGACAAAGGTCAATCTTTACCTTTGAAATTGTCTACCGTCTTTGTGCATCTAAGATAACATGCCTTTGAAATGCTAGAGTAATCTTTATTTTCAGACCTTGAAAGCCACAACCACAAGCACTAGAGCATATTGTTATCTTGTTGCCCTTGTACCCTCTCTATGTGCTGTAAATATTAATTATGAACTATCCTGTACCCACCAATGTAAAAGAAATATGTACCTCTCTGTTTTACTTTTTATCCAATTTCAGAGATTCTCCCGCTTTGCTTTCTCCTACCTCCTTTATCTAGCACCCTTATCTAAATTTCATGTCACCCTCCTTACATCTCCTCCCTTGATGCTAATGTATAAAATAAGTTGCAAAACTGCCATTCTCCAGAGAATTTTCTCAGTCTGTTGAGATTTTGCTTCCTGGCAATTGCCACCAGTTTGGCTCAAATAAACTCTTAAGAGACTTTTTCTTAGGCTAGACCTTCTTTCGTTAAAAACTATATAGAGACAATAAACATAAGTACCCTCAAAAATGTAGGTAATAGCAAAATATAGCAAAATAAATTATAAAGTGGCCTGTTTTGAGTATTTAACTTTTGTTTGTAATATAATTTAAGGGTAAGTTTACATAATTTAATTGCTTATGATGGTCGAACTTAACAACTGGTCCTCAAAATTCCTGAAAATTTAAACAAGGGTGCTTGTAAGCATATTACTTTATGATCTGGAGCCTGCCTGACATTCCAGACTTATTTTTCTTACTGTGTGTCTCCTCCCTTTAACCCTATGCTTTGCTGATATTGAAACATTTTCACCTTCTTAAGTAAGCTGACTTTGCCAGTAACCTTCCCTATTCCTCCTGCCTCACCCATCCAATCTGGCAAATACCTTGCCCCTTTCACCGGGCAAAAACATACTCATCTTTAAGACTTAATGTCATCTCATTTACAAACCTTTTCCCTACGCCCTTATTCCTTTCCTCTAGGTATAATTGTACCTGAGTACCTTGTGCATAGTTTTAGCATGATACCTGGCTGGTATTTATTGTTTACAAGTTTAATTTTGCTACTAGAACATGTTGCCATGTCTCATTCATTTTTTTTCTTTTCTTTCTTTTTTTTTCCTGATCAACATATTTATTCTGGCTAGGCCATTTCAGCCCAACACAAATCACACTGGGCAGGAGGTGGGAGGGCTGGAGGGTTCACGCATTCTAATACAAATATTTCAGTCTCAAAATTTCTAGATACAACCTTAAAAGCAGATACAAGAAAGAATTTTTCATATGCAATTTTTAGCTCATTAGCTCAACAGGTACAAATAGAATAGAAAAGAAAAACTCATTCTACATAGATCTTTAATGTCAGAACAAGACAATTCAATTGTTGCAGTAACTCCACATAAAAATCTTCTTCACCAGCTCTGCCCAATAAAAATCTCTGAGATAATGAAATTGTTCTTTATTTACACTAGCCTGTATGATACCCACTAGCCACATGAGGCTATGAGCACTTGAAATATTGCTAGTGCAACTGAAAAATTGAATTTATTTTAAATAATTTAAATTATGTGGCTAGTGGCTACTGTATCAGACAGTGGAATTCTAGACAAAGAACACCCCATCATCATCATAACCATCGTCATCAACAGGATCTTCTGCTTAGCTTGATATGACCTAATTTGGTAAATGGAGCAACTTTTGTAAAATGATGACCATGCAGGCAGTAGCATAATATGATCATAAACTGACCATTTCTGACTTCTTTACAAAGTACCACTACACAAAGCTGCCGCCTGTTGGGATGGTTGTGGGTTCAATGAGCAGAAGTTGGGGACAAGACAGTCCTTGTCAGTTGTTGATGTCTAGATTTAAACAGGTATCCAAATATGTGGTATGTTAATGTGAATCATTTCAGAGGGATGTGACTACTGCACCCTCTATGATGAAACCACTGTAACGTGTGTCGAAGTCTTATATAAAGTGGAAACGTCAAAGGAGGGTGCTTTGTAAGGACGCATTTCACGTGATAGTTCTCCAAGTGCTCACCTTGCTGACTTTGGCAGGTGAGGGTTGAGAAGCTGGATGGACTGAAGGCTGGGAAGGATGTTGGGATGGTGGTTGAGGCTGCGGATGGATGTCATGGGTGGGGATCTGATGAGCCTGGCCAGGAGTTGTCACGTTCACCCTGTCATTGGTTTGCACCTCAATCTTGTAGCCAGGGGGCAAGAAGGTATTGAAGCCCATGATCAGGTCAGTGTGGTGGCCTTTGAACAGCTGGGACATATAATATCCTCCCTGGAGTGTCAATGTTCTGAGATTTAAATCCCTTCATGATGTCAAGGAAATCATTGCAGACCTGAGACTGACTACCAAATTGCAGCTTCACTGGGTCAAGATAGGACAGCAGATCCTCCACTTTGAGCCTTTGAAATTGCTGTTGTCCCTGCGCTGGTGGAACTGGTGGTGCTGGATGAGCTTGACTCTGCACCGCCTGGTCTCCATGGGGCTGCACAGCTATTGGCTGATGATGGCTGCTACAAACCGCTGCTATGGTGAGCCCATGACTGCCACCGGAGCCCGCCCGGTGGCACAGCTGAAACCTGATAGCTGGGTGTGACCGAGTACTGAATTCCAGTGACTGGCTGCAAGGTCTCAGACAAGGCTTCATACATGGGAGGAGCCGGGGCAAGCACCCGGCACTGGTGAGAAAAAGCCTCTGTGCTACCAGGGATCCGACGCTGCTGGGTTGCATACACCGGTGACTCCTCGTCATCCAAACGTCACTTCATTCTGCGCTCATGCTCAGGAATGCACTACAAAACCTTGTGAGTCAGTCAAGGGGTCCTCAATGGGGCTCATTCATTCTTTTTTTTTTTAATCCCAGCTATATAGGCCCTTAAAAGAGTTGTTGAAAAAATTAACTATAATACTCGGACGCACTCAGTAAATATAGGATTGAGCCTATTTCCACGGTCACCCCCCTCCCGCCCCCCAAGAGATCAAGCTTTTTTTCTCTAAAGACTTCCTGTGGATTTCTGGACCTGTCTAACTTATGCCTTGCTGGCAAAGTGTGTCCGCCCCTCACCCCCCCCCCCTGCTCACTGTATCCTTTCTAGAACCTTGAGCTCAATCATTCACTTAAAGCACCCAGTTATCTTGTTATAACGGGAAGAAATCTTTGGGTACAAAAGATATGCAAAGCACAGTCTGCAAAAAATTGGGGGACGGTGAGAAGCAAATGTACCTCTTCTAGAATTGTTTTTACCTTTCTGTAACAAACCAACATCTTCTTTAGAGCAATTCCAGCCACAGAGAAAGTAACATGCTTTCTGTCTGGGCCTCTCTTTCTTTAGCCTCAGGTTGGCATTGACATTATTGCTGCCACCCAAGATGCAACTCAGTGACCTTAAAATTCTGCTGACAATTTTCCTGCTCTTTCCCTAAGCTCCAGTTCTCTGGAGATACAGTTCTGCTGTCTTTAGAGCTTCATCATATGAGGATTCCACACAGCATCAGACCTGCCTTAGTCAGCCCCTCTTGTGCCTTTTTCTAAACTGACCGCTCTCCTAAAAGTTCCCATTCTCCAACAACCCTTTTGTTTTTCCCAGAGTTCTCACTCCTAGGCCTTCCCCTACTGACCACTAAGTCTTGTCTCAGGCAAACCACTCACACATCTGCTAAGTAATCAAATTTTCACTAGTCCAGGCCCCAGCCAGCAGGAGATTTTTCTCAAGACATGTATTATTTGAGGAGTCATTTCCTGCATCGCTTCTAATCAATTTCCCACTGGGACAAAGGTCACCATTCCACGTACTAGACATTCTGCTTTATTCCTCTTCAGCACAGTACTTGGCACAGTTACGTGCGCAAAGAAATGTGTGTTAAATGAACCACAAAACAGATTTTTTTTTCTCGTGGAAACTACCCAGAGACTTACACAACACCAATAAGACTCAATCTTTATCCCCAGTCTAGGAAGAAAAACGGCCAAACCCTTCAGCAGTTATAAACATTTCAGGCCAACTTAAGTCTGATGATTTCTCCTGAGGTCTTGCTAATACTAAATACTCAAGTTACCACTGATAGTATATCAGTTGTGCCTTCCTGATTGTTAATTAAAATAAACAAGACAAACTCTTCACACTCTCAACATCTCTCACTCCAAGAGTTCTTAGTATATTGAGCTCTTTTTTATTTACAAAATATGCTCTTAGTGTCTTTGGGTTAAAAATAGCATTAAAAAGCTACATTCCTTGAATATGTCAAACTGAGGCACAAGACTTTCCCACTAGGATGGAAATTTCTGGATGAAATCTGGCTGGCAGCTGAATAGGTTAATGGTTGCAGGGCTCAGCCCCTCCTGTCTTATGCTGCCAGACAACTGTTCCCTCAGGGCAGGGAGAAAGTGGTTGGCAATTCCCGACAGATGGACAGCTGACTGAATGGACCCTCCCCCCAGACCCCATCCCCTGTGCAGCTGTGTGCTGGCCTCGGATACAACGGGGCTCTCCCTCAAAGGAGGGGCAAGAATTGTGCAACTGGAAGAAAAAAAAAAAAAAA